TTGCATTTACTATTTCCAATGTTCATTTGCCTACGCATTATTGGTATTCTTCAAAGATTTTTTTTTTAATTTTTGCGTTAATTCCAATCTCAAAGCTTAATTCTTCAGTAAATAGTCTTTTTTTCTTCTTTTTTAAGTTGCTACACTGTTAAAAAAAGTTTTTGAGAGACAAATAATAAACTACTTCTCTCGTTGGAGACAACAAACATTTTTCACACGCATCTGAACTAATGCGTCCAGGTCACGTCCTCTCGTGTCCTCCTAAATTCACCGACATATGCTCTTTCCATACATTGTCTATAGCTTCTGTCCAATGTCGTCAATGTGTGACACTACGGACTTTGTTAGTCGATCATGAAATCGTGAGTAACGAACTATTCTAGCTGGAAAATAACTAGAATCATTATTTCATTTGTATTAGCCTCCACTTTCCTTTACACAATGCCAGATGAGTTTAAGTGAGTCTAGATTTGTCATAGACATGGAACTGTGAACGAACGGTTACATTGTTATGCAGAACAATTCACTTAACTTTGTTTGTCAAAGTTAGGAATTAAATAAACTCAGAACAATAGATCCGGGTAAATTTAATCCGACCCTTCCAGTAATGGCTATCAATGTCATAAATGTCTCTATATATACATCCAATTATCGTAAAATGTCATATATCTACATCTCAATGTAGTCATTTACTGAATAGACATTTTTAATACAGCGTAAGATCATCGCAGTAAGGAATAAATAAAGTGCAGTATACAACAGACGATTGAATTCTTTGATAAATACGCTCGGGCAGTAGTGGTATGAGTTATGCATTAATCTTTTTTTTTAAAATCTCAGCGACTGTGGACAGTTTTTAATCGAGTAGAAAATATATCATTCAGCATAATTATGTATTCTGCATGTAATTTTCATGGGTTTAAGTGGGGCTCACCTAAACAGCTTTGATCTTCTATGCATTTAAATATACAAATAGAGAACCGAAAAAAATGATCAAGCAGTTTGATAGGGATTGAACTAATTTATACAGCGTAGTGATATATAAACACTAATGTTTTGTGTTATTAAAAACAGACATGTGTTCATTAAAATATGTCTGTATTTCTTCTGTTTCTTTTAAAAGTTTTAGTTTAAAAAAAAACAGAAGATTTAGCGGGGGGCTTTTTAAATATAAGATTAAGAAGAAGCGGAATGTGGGCCATAATAAAAAAAAGATACGATCAATTAAATATAACTATTTTTTCATGATGGAGAAAAATTGATACAACCGCGTAATTTTTAATGAATGTTATAAGCTATTTGATCAAATAATCCGATTTTGATTAAGGACAAAGTCGAGATCGTGGAAGTACACGAGAATTATGCACTTGTAAACGTAAATATTTCCAGGCTTATATGGTACTATGATACGCAATAAAGCATGAATATTTTCTCAATACACATCACAGAAATGCAAATTTATATGAAATGCACTTTTTTGGAAAAATGAAAGAATTTTTTATTTTTTTCTTCTGATTGGATGAATATAATCTTATTAATATCTAAAAACTACTAAACTGATAGAATTTCTTTTTTTCCAGGTTTTCAGATAACACTTTTAGCCATCTTGACACTCTTTGTCGTAAGAATCTCTGAAAAACCCTTTGTTATTGTTGTGGAGTATTTTCACAGTGGAGGCTTCTATTTTTAATAAGTCGTACAAAACGTTAGGAACTTGGAAAACAATAGTCAATGACGCAGCAAATATAGTTGTGATGGTTGGTACTTCAAATGTCCGAATCTCGACTGACGCGCTCAACACCGTTCAGTATTTATCGTTCCACCCACGAGGACCGAATATGGCACAAGGCCGGTTTTAATGTGGGTATACCCGAGCCCGTAGGCCCGGCCAAAAATATAGCCTTTGAACCCGCCTAGAAGGGTTCAGGCCCTGTCTACCTCCCCGGAGGAAACCTTGCCCTTCGGCAAAGCCTCGTCCGGGTTCCTCTCTGCTAACGCAGAGAGTTCGACAGAAGGCGTGCGCAGTCAGAGACCGCTCAACACCGTTAGTATTTACTTGATTCCCACAAAATCAAGATGTGACACAAGGTCGTTTAACGTGGGAGACCCGAGTGTTTCCACTCAAAGGCCACTGGTCAAAATTGGTCATAGCTTGTCCAAGCTGGTCAGAGCCTAGTCAAAGCTGGTCATGACTTGTCCTAACAGGTCCAGGCCGGAGCCAGTCCAAGCTAGTCAAAGCCTTGATCGAGTCTCAGCCATAGGCCAAGAAACGATCCATTATTTGTCAAAAACCCCAGCCAAAAGGCCGGGCGCGTTAACCGCTCAACACCGTTCTGCAGACTTGCCACTGCTACTCCTACTTATTATCTATGGGAGAGTCCATTATCAAAGAATAGGTACATAACAGTTATTCACCTAGAAAGAGAATAGGTTAAAATCGGTTTATGTCTGTTCCATTGTTTTCTTAACTGAGGATTGGTGAGAGGAAAAATATCATATAGGTTTTCAGTTATGGTAGCAAATCTAGCTTCCATCTTCAAAGACCTTTCCAGCATATTCAAGAGAACGGTGAATAAATTTTAAAAAGAGAGAACATTAGAGAGAGGAAAACTGGATCAGGAGGTCACAACGGGAAAAGGGATCATCATTTCAAATTATAGCTTAAGTGATCCATTAGATAAGATCCATTTCAATCCTAATACCTAAAAAAACGCTAAACCTAATTGGGTTTTATTAGGTTTTCAGATAATAAAATTACCCATCTTGTGACGTAAAAATCACTGAAACACCCTTTGAGTTATTCACCTAGAAAGAGAACAGTTTAAAATCGGTTGGTGTCAGGCCCACTGTCTTCCCAAATGAGTGATGGTGAGAAGGAAAAGTGATTCAGGCCTTCAAAAATGTTATTCATACACGGGCTTCAATATTCAAAATCCATTCAAGAACCATCAAGATAACGGTGAATAAGTTTAAAAGAATGAACAGTAGAGAGGAAAACTGGATCAAGTGGTCACAACTGGAAAAGAGGTCATTATTTCCACTTATTGCGGAAGTGATTAAGTAGAAATGATCCAACTGAATCCATATGACCTATGGCAATTGAGAGAGGCGTTTTCAGCTGTGATAGTTCAAAGAGCAGTGAAAAAAATACTTGAAAATGAAATCTTACAAGGAACACATGAGGCAACCTGTTAGTCCAGGAAAGAAAGATAGAAGGTTAGAAAAGGTCGCAAATCATCTTGAATAATTTGGTAAATGATCCTGGAATAATTTAAACACACACACACACACACACACACGCACACACACGCACACGCACACATATATATATATATATATATATATATATATATATATATATATATATATTATTTATTTTTAAAAATATGATTCCAACACGCTACATAAGAGTTCTCATGTTTCAAAACAAGAGCCGAAAGCTTCAATATAATTATTAGAATTAAATTGAATTAATTTACTAAGTTCTGTTCCATCTTCAAGCGAAATTTTTTTTTGTCTTTCCGCTTTAAATTTAGACACCCCCAACCTTACCCTGACTTGACATCTGTGAATGTAACCGAGATATTGATACAAATTATTAACACTTTTCGACCCTTTCTCTTTGGACGGTTGCTCGTGCCGTTACCATAGAAATTTTGATTTTAATAATGAATATGCTTATAAAACACGTAAATTTCAGAAATAAGTTATTCCAAAAAAAAAAAAAAAAATGGTGCAAATCCGTCGAAAATTGCGGCCATGCATTCGTTACACACACAAACATAGAACAATAATACAATAGTATTAGAACAATTCCCATGAAGGTATTTCTAGAAATTTCAGAGGAAGTTACGTTACAGCGCTGTAAAACTGACTGAAGTCAAGATGCCAGGTCAAAACCAAGAACATTGAAGATTTTAATATGAAATAGCGTTTGAAAACGAAATGAATATATTTCTCAAATTTTAAAGCAATAATTAAATTACCTGACTTCTAGGATAGGTGAGTGATTATAAAATTGGATTTTTATGTGAAATTGTATAAATCTTTTTTTGCATTATGCATTCATTTTGTGGCTTGTCGCTACTGGATAAAATAAAGACTTTAATTTGGGGGTAAAGTGTTTTATCGCAGCTCATATTTTTTTCAAAGCTGAGCTTCGTAAAAGTAGGTGAGCATTATATCTTTGCAAAGGAGAAGTACAGAAAATGTTATGAAGCGGATCTACAAAGAATAAAATTAAATATGCATCAAGTGTTTCAAAAATTAACATTTTTTAAACATAACGATGAAATCGATTATAAGAGTCAAACAAGTAAAATCACAAATCGAGCGAAAAAATGAACGAGAAACCTTTGAAGACAGGCACTGTAAATAATCCGAGTACGGTGTAAGTATCTCTTATACAGTGTAACCCGGATATAAGAGAGTTGTCGGGACCGGAGAAGAAGTCTCTTATATCCAGGTTTCTCTTATATCCGGGTTTTGTCTATTTTGTTTAGGTAAGTATGGGAACACTTCATATAACGCTTTTTACGTGCAGAACACTAGTTTATTTAACAGTTATAGACATAAAACACAGACAAATATACATTTTCAATCAGTTTTCAAAATAATTCAATCAAAAATTACTTTTTCTTTAAAAAAGTCAGTCATTTTTGATTGTACAGAAATCTCTTTGTTAACATCATGAACACTTTCATACAGTCCGTAAATCATTTTCAATGCGCCATCAGGATTACTGCTTTTTGCTTCAAAGTAGGCTGTCAGAGTTTCAAGCGCATTCAATGCAGCCAGAAAATTTGGCACTGTTTTGTCACTTTCAGAAACTTCAGATCTTACGCTTTCAGCATCATCATCTTCGTCAAAATCTTGATCTTCCGTTTTTATACCACGTGTGATGTCCGTGTCAGTCAGTTCTCCATAACATTGTGTACGGTCGTCGAAGCTGATAAATTCGTCTCATTCTGTTTGCCGTGGTTTTGCCGACTTACCAACAACTACAGCTTGCTTTTCACTGCCGTCCATGTTTGTGAACTGAAGCATCGTGAGTCTGTCTTTGGGAACTTTTGTCCCATTTGACTGTTCGTCGCCGGCAAATCGCAAAGATCTGCTGACGTTGATTCGCCGTGAAAGTTTTTGAACGAAACGTTATTGGCCTGCTTCCAGCGCATGAGCCAGCCATTGCTCGGTTCAAAATCAACTTCAAGATTTACGGCCAGTTGTGATTCTTTCTGCCTGATGACGTGATCGGTGACGGTAGCTCCATGAGCACATGCTTGCGTAAACCACTGTGTAAGCGCTTCGTTGACGTCCTTGTGCACGGATTGGCGCTTTCGTTTGCGATTAGTGTTTCCGTTCATTTGCATGCAAGATGTGATATCGTCCTCTTTCTTGAGAATTTTTGCTGCTGTTGAATAACCGATTCCGTACTTTTTGGCTGCAGCGGCCAGTTTGAGTTTCTTCACTTTGACATCGTCGATGAGCTCCAACTGTTCAGAAATGCTCAGAGTTTTTCGTTGAGACGCCGACGCCGACGCCGACATCACAAATCGCAATGATCACAAGCAAACGGTTTTCAGTGGCAAAATTAACAAACAGACAAACTTCTGACTCAACAAAACAGTGGGTAGAAGTGTAAGTGCTGTCCAGTAAATGCAACGACAAGCAAAGTCGGCAAAAAAGCGGACGGCGCTACCCTTAGACACACAAAGCAAAAACATGAGGTGGAGGGTGTCTCCTACAGACACAGATTGGACACACCGTGTCTCTAGACTAGACAAGATTAAGTTATTGAACTTCACTCTCTCTCTCTAACTGACCTCTGTTTGACCGATTTACGACATCACACTGTCACTCAAAACTAACTCTCTTCTATCGGGAAGGACGGGACCAGAGAAAATCTCTCTTGTATCCTGGTTTCTCTTATATCCGGGTCTCTTATATCCGGGTCTAATTTATATACGTTAACACAGCTCTAATTTGGGACCAGAGAAAATCTCTCTTATATCCGGGTTTCTCTTATATCCGGGTCTAATTTATATACGTTAACACAGCTCTAATTTGGGACCAGAGAAAATCTCTCTTATATCCGGGTTTCTCTTATATACGGGTCTCTTATATCCGGGTCTAATTTATATACATTAACACAGGCTCTAATTTGGGACCAGAGAAAATCTCTATTATATCCGGGTTTATCTTATATCCGGGTCTCTTATATCCGGGTTACACTGTATAAGCTAAAAGTCATCGTTTTGTGGAATAATGTATTATTCCATCTACGACATTTTACGCGCGCGCGAGTTTCCTCCCTTCTTCCACGCTTGTGCGCGCGCGCGTTTGACACCCCCTTTCTGTCTCTTTTAGTCTAATACAGTAGTAACTGTTTTTGGTCACCAGCCAAGCGACTTGCTATGCAAATTAGATTTTTGAAATCTTGCCGCGAAAAATTTGTGACGTCAACGACAAACTGTTGTTTCAAAAAAGGCAGATTGGTGACCTTACGACGTGATACGAACACGTAATAATTTTGCAACCTTGCCAACATATTTTTGAGCAAGCTTAAATATAAACGTGCATAAATTCGATAGCCGGAATGACGTCTAGTGACTCTGAAGAGTCGGCGAACATGTCCGCCGCCGTCGCTCCTTTTCCCCCCTTTCATGAAGGGAATATAAAGAACTGGTTCTTACAAATGGAAGCCATTTTCACAGTCAGAAGGATTACAGACCAAAAGACCAAGTTTGGCCACGTGGTGGCGGTTTTGCCACCCGCCATTGTCGATGAGGTCTCAGACTTCCTAGAAGCCGTTCCTGAAGTAGAACCCTACGCTCGGTTAAAAGAAGCAATCTTAAGGAGAATGGGCCGTACAGAGGAGTCATTAATCCGGGAACTATTTAGCAACCCTAACTTGTGATGGCAGGACTCCCTCCCAACTTCTTCGTTATATGAAAAGCCGACTCAGCAAAAATACCATGGCTGACTCTATATTAAAAAGCTTGTGGCTGGACCGTCTCCCCACCACCATAACCCAAATTTTGGCGCCAATGTCCGAAAACACCTCGATCGATCAATTAGCGGACGCCGCGGATCGTATTTTCTCGCAACTGGATAATCAGACAACGCCGGTACACAGTGCTGAAGCGACTGGAGACCACAGGTCCTTGGAAAAAACAGTCGAGGAACTGCAGCGCCAAGTTAAGGATTTAACATTAGCTCTAAAGAGCCGTGGTCGAAGCCGGTTCCCTTCCGCCGGCGCTTCAGAAGTCGACCACGCTCGTCCAGCCGAGATAAGGATGCCACTCCTACTATGTGTTACTACCACCGAAGATTTGGGTCTAAAGCTTATTACTGCGTCAAGCCGTGTACTTATACTGCGGTCGCGGAAAACAAAACCGCCAGCGAGTGAAAGCGACTAATCTCGCTGGCAAGGCATTTTCACCAAAACTTAGTCGCCTTTTTTATGTGACGGACACGCGTAATAATTTACGTTTTTGGTTGATACCGGCGCTGCCATTAGTGTCTTACCCGTGCGTGATAAAGCTCGTCAACAACCTTTTCAGCTCCGCTTACAAGCAGCAAATGGTTCCAGTATTAATACTTACGGTACGAAGTCCCTTACCCTAAACATAGGGATGCGACGAGACTTTTACTTGAATTTTACTGTTGCTGACATCAAGATGCCGATATTAGGTGCAGATTTCCTGGCGCACTATGATCTCGCCGTGCGAATGAACAACCATTCCCTGACTGACAACTTAACAAGACTGTGTGTTCTTGGCACTTATTCTAAACTTACCACCACTGGCATCACCGTGGCAACGTGCCACAATAAAGAGTACTTAGACTTATTGAATCAGTACCAGGACCTCCTGCGTCCTGCTGGATCTATTGATTCAACTAAACATCAAACACAGCACTTTATTAAGACCACTGGTCAACCTGTTTTTCCGTCCTCGTCGTCTAGCACCTAACAAATTAAAATTCGCAAAGAAAGCTTTCGACGACATGCTACGAGAGGGTGTTATTCGTCCGTCCGACAGTCCTTACGCTTCCCTCTCCATTTAGTACCTAAACCAGGAAAGGAGGACTATAGAATTTGTGTGGATTATAGAAGATTGAATTCTATCACCGTCCGGGATCGTTATCCAATCCCCCACCTCCACGATTTCACTTCTGGTTTACATAGCGCAAAGATTTTTACTAAAATAGATCTTGCGAAAGCATATTATCAGGTGCCAGTAGCTGCTGCGGATGTCCCAAAAACTTCTGTTACTACACCTTTCGGTTTATTTGAGTTTTTGAAAATGCCTTTCGGCCTTTGCAACGCAGCACAGACATTCCAACGTCTTATGGACGAGGTTCTGCGTGGACTCCCTTTTGTTTTCGATTACATTGACGACATTCTGATAGCTAGCGAGGACGCTGCCTCGCATAAACAACACCTACACGAAGTTCTTCAACGTTTGTCCCATTACGGATTTCGTCTAAACCTGGACAAATGTGTCTTCGGATCAGACCATATAAATTTTTAGGACATCACGTCGATGCAAATGGAATTGCCCCTTTAACTGAAAAGATTAAAGCTATCACTGAGTTTCCCGTCCCTGTTTCTATTAAACAGTTGAGACGCTTTATAGGGATGATCAACTTCTACAGGAGGTTTATTCCAAACTGTTCTAACATCCTGACTCCCTTACCAATTTATTACAGAAGAAGAAGAATAAGACTATTATACTTGAGAATGAAGCCTTGGACGCCTTTCGAGCAGCTAAAACCGCTCTAGGCAATTTTTCTAAGCTTAGTTTCTTAGAGGACGACCCTCAATCGGATATCTACCTGACCACTGACGCTAGCGAAACAGCAATAGGCGCGGTCATTGAACAAGTCACTCCTTCTCAACGTAGACCTATAGCGTTCTTTTCCGGTAAACTTTCTCCTGCCCAGTCACGCTACAGTACCTTTTCTCGTGAACTGTTGGCTATATTTCGTGCCATTAAGCATTTCAGACACCTCCTCGAAGGTAGGTCCTTCGTTATATTTACGGACCACAAACCTTTAACGTCCGTTATGTCCACTAATTCGGACAAATACACTGCGAGGGAGATCAGATACCTGGACTATATATCTCAATTTACTACTGATATTAGGTACATTAAGGGTTCGGATAACACTGTTGCCGATACCCTATCTCGTACTGAGATGTTCGGCGTGCATACTGATGCACTCAGTCAAGATTTGATCGCCGACGAACAGGAAGCGGACATAACTCTGAAGCATGTGTTATCAGACACTTCTTTAGAACTTCAGAAATGTCCGGCTCCTTTTAGTAACAAGGTCTTATACTGTGATGAAAAATCCAAATCTCCAAGACCTTATGTTCCTCCGTCTCTTCGTAGACAGGTTTTTGACCACCTACACGGACTCTCACACCCTAGCAAAAGAGCCACAGTTAAGTTAATTTCGGACCGTTTCGTTTGGCCGAATATGAACGTTCACATTCGCGAATGGGTTAATACTTGTTTACAATGTCAGAAGTGTAAGGTGCATAGACACAAAAAAATCCCGTGGGCACTTTCAGTGAGCCTGATGCTCGTTTTACTAATATACACCTGGACTTAGTTGGGCCCTTACCAACCTGCCACGGTTATTCCTACCTTCTAACTATAGTGGATCGTTTTTCCCGATGGCCTACTGCCATCCCTGTTAAAGATACCACTGCTGTGACTGTCGCAAAAGCTATTTTACGCGATTGGATTTCAATTTTGGGACTCCTAAAGTGGTTACTACAGATAGAGGAGCTCAGTTCCAGTCGTGTCTTTTCAAGGAATTCACTGAACTCCTTGGTGCAAAGCACATACGTACTACAGCGTATCACCCCTGTGCTAATGGCCTGGTGGAACGATTCCATCGCACCCTTAAGGCTTCGCTATCAACGAAGCATGAGAATAATAATTGGGTCGATGAATTACCTCTCATCCTTCTATCGTTAAGAAATATTCTTAAGGATGACTTGAAATGCTCCCCTGCAGAGGCTTGTATTTGGTACTTCGTTATCTTTACCTGGCCAATATTTTTCGCCAGCTGTGACCACACCACCAGTTTCTTCCTCTTTTATTCAGGACTTACGCCTTAAAATGGCAAACTTATGCTATACACCACCGTGGCACTGCCCGAGTGATATCTATCTACCGCACCAGCTCAAGGACTGCGAATTTGTATTTGTACGTAATGACTCTGTTAAGCGGCCTCTTACGCCGGCCTACACAGGCCCATACCGCGTTCTTAAACGCGCAGACAAATATTTCCAAATACAGAAAGGTATTCACACCGACAACGTTTCAATAGATCGGTTGAAACCTGCCTTTATAGAGAAACCGTCGTCTCATACTACTTCCCAATCAACTCCGCAAGTTCAGGAGAATTTTAAGACACCTGTTTCTCTCGACAAACCTAAGTATACCAGCTCCGGTCGAAAAGTCACCTTTCCAAAGAAATTTGAAACATTCTACTATTATTAGTCAAATGTCTGCGACATTTGATCCAGAAGGAGGGCTGTGTGGAATAATGTATTATTCCATCTACGACATTTTACGCGCGCGAGTTTCCTCCTTCTTCCACGCTTGTGCGCGCGTTTGACACCCCCTTTCTGTCTCTTTTTAGTCTAATACAGTAGTAACTGTTTTTGGTCACCAGCCAAGCGACTTGCTATGCAAATTAGATTTTTGAAATCTTGCCGCGAAAAATTTGTGACGTCAACGACAAACTGTTGTTTCAAAAAAGGCAGTAGGTGATCCAGACTCGGACCTAAGCAGACTCATTTTTAGCCATGGCAATATGCAAGGTTGGCAGACGAGGGATATCTTACAATGCAAATACCAGATAATTAATTCCTTGTCATTCAAAGTTCTACTCCGAGACGATGCAGAACATACAAAATAACAATCCGTCGTCCACTTTGGGTCTCGTCAGAAATCTGTTTTGAACCAGTACAAAAAAAAAGAAAAAAAATATGTACATAACAATAACATTCACTCACATTACCTAAAAACTCGCAGTGAGTATTTTTCCTTGTATGAATATTATCATGTACATTGACTTATCTGGCATCTCCTCCTTCTTCAAGAAACTTCCCGCCTTTAGCCATCTTGTTTTCTATTTTGGCGCGGAACTTTTTCATTGGTCCCTACCACGGGACAAATTACTTGTTTTTTCCTGCATTTAATAAAAATTACTCTTGTTGAAACCCAGTCTTTTTTCAGTCATTCCGAGGAGGCTATCTTGTTAATATAATTTAATCATGCACGTGTGGATTAACCACATTTCTTCGTTGTTCATCCACGCACATTTTTATCTTTTTACTTTGCTTGTAGACTCGGTAGTTTAGTGTGGTGTCTGGCACAAGGCCACTCAGTATAATCCAGCACTGCACCCTACCGGGTCCGCAACAGTTTTATGCGTCAAACTTTTATATACTAAATAATATAAAATATTTAATATTTGATGATTGATTCGTTCATTCATAAAGTTTAGGATACATGAGGAAATTTAAGTCCAAGAACAACTTCAAATTTTCGCTGAGTAAAAAGTTTCTGAGCAATAGAGGAAGTTTTATGTGCTAATTTTTTCTACCAAGTAAATTGAGTGAAATGAATATAGAGACGCATATTAAGATAGAATTTTCATCAGGTTTTGAGAGAAGATCGGTAAACATTCGAGTGGAATGATCGCCCGATTTAAAATGTCTCATGGAAAATAGATGAAGTAATCGAATGTTTTTTAACAGCACAGACGTTGAAGTAAAGTAGAAGCTGGGCACGATGACACAAGACTTGAATAGCCACAAACAAAAAGGGCAGATGCAAATGTGTACAGCATCCCTTACGGAGCTCAGATCGAAGATTAAATGTGCAACTGATATGAGAATAAATGAATAGAAACTGGGAAATTAAGGGGACTTGTTACGTTTCTGTTCTTGGTAGCTTGCTACTTCCTGTCTAAGTAATTCAACTCAAAAATGGGACACCTGCCTTATTTAGCAGATTTGGCACCCTGTGATTTTGGGCTCCACGCAAAACCGTAGAATGTCTAAAAAGGACAATGTTTTTTTCATATCCGTGACATGTAACATTTCCTAAATATATACATGTAAATGAGTTCCAAGAAATGCTCCAGAAATATCAAATTACTTAACACAAAAATAGGTTTCGATATTAAATGATCCAAAAAGGAACAATAAACCTTAAAACAAATGAATGAAAAAATTAATCCAATAATGACACTGCCGTGTCACTAAATGCTTGGCATGACAATGGATTTATTTTGAAGCTAGCAGCAACCAATTGTTACTAAATAAGCAAATTTTGCTATCAAAATCCCATTCCAGGAAGTAAATCCTCACAAGTTGTGTATATTTAAAATCATTTTTTACTAGCCTTTAACTTTTTCGTAAATTGCGGATATATTCTGGAACCTGGTTTATTTAAACTGATGATGATTTTTTTCTGATACTGAAATAGCAAAATATGGCTGTTATTAGATTTTTGATGAAGTTCCTATTTGACAACTTAAAACATATCCCAAATGTCTCCCAAAATTCACCTGGATTTGACAATATAAGAATCAGTGTATTTCAAGAATTTACATATTATCCAATATGTGACTGAATTTTTAAATTAGTTTATTCTAAAAACCGCACATCGCTGTTTCCGAACAAATGACAAACATAAACCAACGTCAAATTAAAACAATGTTAATTCCAATGTATATTTATTTGATGTACCGATTTTAATTATTTTTAAAGGTTATCATTCTTTTTCGCTATTGTTATTGGAGAGATGACTGTAAAATAGTGATATACATTTTATTTACGAGTATTTATCCTTCTTTATCTAAGTAATAATTTACCCTTCCCTAACTAATTAATTCCTTACTCTTCCTTTTCTAAGTAATTATTTATCCTTCCTTAAATAAGAAATTCATTATCCGTCCTTAACTGCACGAAAATTTTGTAATGTCTTTGGCGCATTATTTTACGTAGAGAATAACAAAGTCGACATTGTGTGTGCGTGTGTGCGCGTGTTTGTTTGTGTGTGTGAGTGTTCTAGTGTGCATTTCAACATAGGTAATAGTGAATAACGTTCAATCATTGTACCTTCTAAAGCACTATCTACAATATTGACCACACTTTCCTCCAAAATAAAAAAAAAAATTTTAAACTTCATATCAAGTCATTAGAAAGTAACTACGTTTCACTAGAAGTGTATATGAAATATAATTTGCATTTCTTTAGATATTATTTAACATCTAATCACATGAATTCCTTTAAATATTCTTTAAAGTATAATCACATTCATTTTCAACGACAGCAAACCGGTGAGACAGGAAACTTTCCCTACAATGTTTAAAGACTTGTGGACATGTCTCTAAAACATTTAAATTATAGCTTTTAAATACTGCTTTCGTTGTATAGAGTGGGGGGGACAGATATTCGTATACATACAGAGTTTTAGTTTATTGCATTTCCAACTAATGAATAAACATACTTTTCATATAATTTACTGCACACCGAAGCATAATAACTAAATATGCATAGAAAACAGAAAAAAAAGCTTGGTTTTATAGAAATAAAACGCATTTATCCAATGTAATATGTGAAAAAGTATTCGTATATATAAAAAGAATACAAAACAACCATTTAATACTTTCTAATATAGCCATTATTCATGTCTACTGCAACAAATCTCTTCTTGCAGTTCTCAATTAATGCTTTACAAATATTAGTTGTTATTTTGTTCCATTCTTCTTTGCTTATGGACTTAAAACCCGGGATGTTTTTTGGAGCTCTCGATTGGATTTGAATTTTCTTCAAATAACGCCACCGATTCTTGATTTGGTTTAAATTTGGTGACTGATTTGGTTATTTCAGTATATTTACATTATATTGAACAAGATATGTCTTCGAAGATTTTGCAGTGCGCTTAGAATAATAATCTTGTGGAAGCTCTAAAGAGGAGGAAGTTTAACATTTTCAAACGAAATCATTAAATTATCTTCCGAATTAATTAATATGCTGCAGCATTCATTCTACCTTCTATATCTGATATGTTGACAATACTCTTTGCAGGAAAAAACATCCCCAAATACTAACAATATGAAATCACGAATAAAGGAAACTGTGATATAAACTTATATATATATATATATATATATATATATATATATATATATATATATCAGAACAATATTAGGTAATTGGTTGACAAAGTGGAATAATCTCCGTAACAGAAAGACTTCAATAGATTAATTTTTATATTAATAAAATCGTATATGTGTATGGGATGGGATGCCTAGCTTATAATTATGTATCGAGGGAAAAAGATGTGAAACGCTGACTTTTTAAAAAATATTTAGTTTTGAAAATATTGGTTCGAATCAGGTGATGGTTAAATAGTGGATTACCTTCACGAATACGGAATCATATTAAGAGCACGATAGCTTCTCTGGCCATGGAAGCAGACGAATGTTTCTAAGACAAGATAACGTGAAGAAGCCAAAGGAAAAATAATCTGACGGAGCTCTTCAGAATTTAGAGTTCTGAATTTTCAATTCTCCTAGATTAACCAAAGTCATGAAAGCATACTTTTGCTTTCTATTTAATCCGTAGCTGGGGAAAGATAGCTTCGATAATAGCGATTAAAACTACAATATAAAAATAGCATTTTTGCTTTAATATGTCCGTTTTCGTAGCTGATATTAAAATTTGTGCTCATTTTAAAGATACCTTTTCCCGAGGTAAAACCCAGCAGACTTGGTCAGAATTTAAACGTAGCCGGATTATTCCTCTTTCTACAGTCAAGGCTATTCCGCAACCCGAAGATTGATGAAGATCAAAGACTACTTATCATATTTTAATTAATTCGATTCATTAGATTCAGTAACATCTAATCTAAAAATTGAGTGGAAATTTTTCTCTAGTAAATACGATTTCGTTTCTGCATATTTGTATTAGCACCAATATTAATCGTATAGGATAAAATCTTATAACTGTTGAGATTTCATTGCAACAGACGGTCTTATTTAATCTCATTTAATAATTTGACAAAGTAAAGGATTTACGTTATTAAATTATTTATATTTTATACACATGTAACCTAACGTCATCAAATCGAACATGAGACATAAATCCTGAGTCGTCTAAATAGACATTTGGAATAATGTCACACGGATCATCATGCATCAGTTATTACTAAATAACCTTGTCACGACATTGTATGCATGATATAAACTTGTGCTTAATGAGCCCAGTCACGCAAGATATTGAGAAATAATGCACGAATATTCACTTGCAGCAAAGATAGATTCATATAGATGGTTTTTTGTACTATGTTTCTTCGGAATATCCATAAAAAATGTATATAACGTGCATACCTGTATGGCATGCAGTTTCATATTTGCATCAAATTTTATGTGATAATCTATTTACAGGGATAGAAACGAACGAATAATAAGTAAAAAAATA